CTCCCTCCCAAACCAAAACGAGCTTCAGCCATTTATTATTACTTCATTTATTAAGTGATACAGTCACATAGTAATGATTCCTGTAGTGCACCAATACAAAGTGTTTTTTTAGTTATACGTGAGTAGAGCTTGTGCTATGTAAGTTTTCACCAAATTGTAATAAGTTTGGCTTAACCAACAATCCTGTAGATTTCTCAAAGCAAGACTCCAAATGTGGAATCTGGCTCCAGAAAAGTTCTGTCCTGTGCTTCTACACACACCCCTCCCCCAACTGAGCTGTGGCAATCATTGCAACTAGCAGCTCATCAGTTTCATTTGTAGGAAAGGTGGTGGCATTGTAGTATTGTCACAGCAACAGTAATTCAGAGGCTTGATACTAATGACCTAGAATTTAAAACTAGTATAAGTAATGGTGACCATGAAACCAACATGGAGTTTTGTTAAAAGCCTTCTGGTTCACTGATATTCTTTGGGGAAGGAAATTCTCTATCTTTGACTAGATTGGTTCACATCTGACTCCAAATCTATACTAGTGTAATTGATTCATAATGGTTTGGTGCAAGGTGTTAGTTTGCTTATTTTAATGTCCTTTATTTTGGAATTTTGAATTTTCAATGAGTAGCATATGGATTTTTTGTTTTATGTGGTTTAATGATTAACTCCAGCAAGATGCCACCACCAGACACACATTCCCCTCCCCTCCCTTGTCCACCTTCCGCAGGGACCATTCCCTCTGGGACACCCTGGTCCATACTTCCTTCACCCCCAACACCTCCCCACAGCCCTACGGCACCTTCCCCTGTAACCAGCGAAGGTGCAACACCTGCGCATTTACCTCCTCCCTCCCCAGTATCCAAGGGCCCAAACATACCTTCCAGGTGAAGCAACACTTCACCTGCACTTCCAAGAATCTAGTCTACTGCATTCGCTGCTCACGATGTGGTCTCCTCTACACTGGGGAAACGAAGCATAAACTTGGCGACCGCTTCGCAGAACATCTACGCTCTGCTCACAAAAAAGACCCTGAACTACCTGTTATAACAAGGTGTAGAGCTGGATGAACACAGCAGCCCGAGCAGGAAGGCTGACGTTTCGGGCCTAGACCCTTTTCTGAAGAAGGGTCTAGGCCCAAAACGTCAGCCTTCCTGCTCCTCTGATGCTGCTTGGCCTGCTGTGTTCACCCAGCTCTACACCTTGTTATCTCAGATTCTCCAGCAGCTGCAGTTCCTACTATCTCTGAACTATCTGTTGCCTGCCACTTCAATGCACCACCTTGCTCCCTGGCCAACATCTCTGTCTCTGGCTTGCTACAGTGTTCCAGTGAAGCCCAGCGCAAGCTGGAGGAACAACACCTCATTTTCAGCTTGGGGACCCTACAGCCCTCCGGACTCCATATTGAGTTCAATAATTTTAGGGCCTAAACTCTCCCATGTCCCAGCCCCCCACCCCACACACCAGGCCTTGTTACCATATAGCCTGCCACTACACACCCCCTGTTGTTAGTCACTAACAGACCCCATTAACAACTATTCACCCTCCCAACCTTTGTCTGTCCAACTGTCTTTCTCTCTGTTTGGGCTCTATCCTATCGTTTACTCCCTACCCCACCCACCTCCCTATTTTCTGCAAATAAACTGACGTTTTCCCAGCCACCATCAGTTCTGAGGAAGGGTCACCGGACCCGAAACGTTAACTCTGTTTTCTCCTCCACAGATGCTGCCAGACTTGCTGAGCTTTTCCAGCAACTTTGTTCTTGTTCCTGATTTACAGCATCCACAGTTCTTTTGGTTTTTATTGTGTAATGACTAACTTGTAGGTATTTCTTTAGCCATGGTGTTTTTTAGAATAAGCATTCTGCTTGCTGTTAGGGAGACTAATGGGAGTTTGTCTACATTGGAAGGTTTTTATAAATGATCAAAGCAAATAATAGTACATTAAATTCTCCGTTTTAGAAGATCAGGAATTGATATTTTTTTCATTTTGTTTTGGTTTGTAAGGAAGGGGCAGGGAGAAACGAGGAGGAGAAAGAATAGAAACACCAATTCTATTTGAGGAGGCAATATTTCTAATTGATAATTCAGATTGATTAGCCCATTCGCTTGCCACCCATGTGTCCTTTGGGTGCTACTCAGAAAGCAGCATGTGTCTTACTTGTGCCATAAGATGCTTAATGTATATGGAATGATAGTCAAATAAGAGGATAAGTTGCGGGGAAAGAAAAACTATTAGTTTCACTTAGACAGGCTTGAATAGGTCTTAGCTGAAGCTGGATGTGTAACGCAGTTGCTTTTGAGAAAAGGAGGTTGTTTAAGACTATTGGCAAAGGGGTTACCTCCAGTTTATTTTAAGCATTTCAGACCAGAGGTGTTTGCTTAAAACCTGAAGGGATTACGTGAATCTGGGAAAGTGTAAATTCCGTTATTTAATGGATTAAAGAAGAGGCTATGAGATGTTTACAACTGGGAATTAAGGCCACAGCTATTTAAAACCATATGTGGAATAGAGAAGAAAATTATCTTTGCGTGAACACCGTAATGGGATGCATAGGATGAATGGATTATATTCTTGCCTGATGTTTTGGAATCTTTACCGTGTTACATATATTTAAATAGTCTGGTTTATTCTATTTTATCATTCATTTTGCACAATAAATTTCTGTTTTATTGTTAAAATCAAATCTGCAGCATTGTGTGTTTGTTTCAGTGAAAGACCACCTCATTGAAACTAAAAAAAATTATCTATCAAGATAAGTTTGAGTCTGGCATCTGACTTGACCAGTAACACCATTAACTGAAGTCATAACAGTTCATAGAATCCCTACAGTGCTATTAGAGTGTGCATCAACCCTCTGAAGAGCATACCATCCTAACCCCACACTTACCATGTCTAATCCATTTAATCTGCATATCTTTGGACTGGGGAAGAAAACTGGAGCACCTGGCAGAAACCCACGTAGAGATGGGGAGAACATGCAAAGTCCACACAGACCATCACCCAAGGCTGGAATCAAACCTGGGTCCCTGGCACTGTGAGGCAGCAGTGCTAACTACTGGGCCACCGTGCTGTTTCATTATTTGCCATTTGACCTCACAAACCACTCAGTTCCAAGGCAAATAAGGATGGACAATGAATTCTGGGCTTGTCAACAACGTCTGTATTTTGAGAACTATTTTGGAAAAAGTTTTGAATAAGGTACCATGTTGAATTTGACAGGGATCTAATGTCCACTAGTAATGCCACATCCTGGGAATGAGAGACCGAGCTGATTTTAATCCAAGATTATGGAATCCAATTGTACTATTCTTCGTGCCCAAAATGATATTAGGTTGTGCAGCTCCATGAATTACACACAACTGTGATTGTTTCTCATATCTGAAGTTTACTACCTGACTGACTGAAATGGCTGAATTATTTTTTAAAATTTATATTATTCACATATTTATTTTATTATTACTAAATTGGCATAATTTCACACTCCAATTTCTTCAGGTCCATGAACAGAAAACAAAGATGTTCCAAAAATACTTTTGTATGCTGTTAGAACATTTTGCTTGACCCCTTCCTCCAAAATTAACTCTAATCAAAAGAAACAAAAATGGGTTTACTATGTTATTGTCTCTTCCTTCATGTGAGCACCAGTTTGTTACCTCAGTGGCATATCATTTAAGCCAATTCCAGTAAATCCTCTGTATGGGATTTACCCTTTGATAGAGGTGTACAAAATGATCAGAGGTATAGATAGAGTGGACAGCCAGAGACTTTTTCCTAGGGTGGAAGTAGCTATTACGAGGGGGCATAGTTTTAAAGTGAGTGGAGGTAGATAGAGGGGAGACGTCAGAGGTAGGTTCTTTACTCAGAGAGTGGTAGGGGCATGGAATGCATTGCCGGAGAGGGTATTGGAGTCAGCCTCATTAGGGGCATTTAAGCCGCTATTAGATAGGCATATGGATGATCGTATAAGGTAGGGGTGAAGGTTAGATAAACCTTAGGTTTAGGGTAAAAGTTCGGCACAACACCGTGGGCCGAAGGGCCTGTACTGTGCTGTACTGTTCTATGTTCTATGTATCCACAAAGTCACAATCGTGAATTAGCCTATCCACACCAAAATACAAGTAACGACAGATTCAACATCCATGGGCAAAACTAGTGTATCTGCAATTTTTAACCTATTTTTAAACCTACTTTTAAACAAGCTGTGCAGTCCCAAATTTCATAATTTGTGGGTTTTTCGGGAATGGAACCCTTGTGGGAACAAAACAATGACTATCATCTTCTGGTCATAAAGACACATAGCATGAATCATCATGGCTTCACAATTGAAAGTAGAAGTTTTCTGTTCTTGAATGTTAACTTACTGTCCTAAATATTTGCTGAGTTTGATGTGGTTATGATTTTATCAGTGTGGTGCAAGCTGGAGACTGTATCTGCATATCCTTATATTAACTAGTCCATTCCCCAGGGTTTTCTGTCTGGTTCAAAGGACACCTAAGGAAGATTTGATAGAGTTATGCACAATTATGACAGCTTGAATAAGGTAGACAAAGATAAGCTGTTCCTATCAGCTAACTTGAACGAAGGTTAAGAGATACAATTTAAAGCTTCGGGTAAGAGATGCAAAGAATTATGTAGTTTTTAAATGACATGACACCAGCTACCAAAGCGTGTGGTAGAACCAGAGATGATGATGATGATGATCATTTTGAATGGAAGTGTTATTGGTACTTGAGGGAAAGAAACCTTCAGGGCTGTTATAGTGTGGGGATACAGGACTAACTGGATTGCTCTCCTGGGAGCCATCAATGAATTCAGTGATTGAAGCTTCTGTGCTTTGACTGTATGATTAAGTATATTTGCATAAAATTTCAACCAAACTTTGAAGACATGGATTTGTTCACACAGCATACAGGGAAATTTACATCTTGTTCCATGTGGTTTCTAAGCTGAACTCACTTAATACTGTGTTGGATCTTTAAGTATTGTTTGTGTTTATTAATTTGCAGAGTTCTTTTGAAAATGCCTTTTCAGTGTGGCCAATTTCAAAGCTATTTGAGTGGCAAGGATTCCTTCATGAATGGTGGTTTCGATGGAAGTTGGATCGCTTTGTATGTATCTGTATATTCAACCATTTATTATAAATTTTAATGATGGGACCATCTGCAAGTTAAAAGGTTTAGTTCTTTCAACAGTAAATTGCTTACGTAATTTTTGTTTCCCCAATCAGATTATTACTTATACAATTCTTTTTGACGTTGGATAATTTAAATTCACTACCCTAACTTATGGATCACAGAACTAAAGTTCTAAAACTTTGATATGTTTTAATTATACATATAAATTTAGATTTATTTATACTGTTAATGCAGTCCTGTCAAGTTGTTACAATGACTAAGCGTTGGAAAACAAAAGAGAAACGGATGTAAATTCATAGCTTTCCACTTGCATTCTTATGTTCTGTAGTAATTGGCAATACAATTAAATTTCATGGTTACTTATTTCACTTATTTTATAGGTGTGTATCTATTATCAGTTTATCTATTTAATATACCTTTCATAGTGTGTTACAGTAGATGGACCTTGCAGGAAATGTGATGAAAATTTATGGCATGCTATTATTTTTTTTTGGGAACTTGGATTCTAACATAGAGGTAAACAAGGTTATAGGTTTCAGTGCTGATTGTTTTTGTTGAAGGAAGGATCTGAAAGTCATTTGGAACAGTAAACTCAAGACAACCTTTCAAAGAAATCATGTGACTTAATCTAAATGACTCAACTTGCTAGCTGGCAACATTACTGTTGCTTAGATTGACTTGCGATTTTATGACCTACAGAAAAAGATAAATGCCCAGAGACCAAAGCAGATTGAGTTCAGAAGACCCATTCTAGCAAAGGAGCATTTTACAGTTCGTGGAAAGTCATCAAGCCACAGGAGTTGTAAAGAATGCTTATGCTATTTTAAAGTCCCCAGAATAGTCAAAATCTGAGAAAGGTCACTAAGTTAGCCTCTGTGTCTCACGGACGTAAAGTAATGGAGAGAATGACATCTGGTGAAAGTGCTGAAAGCAAATGTGTGACCTCATCAGTTCAGTCAGAAATTTTGAAATGAAGATAGGAATGTTATTGAGAGTCTATAAAGGATATTGTTTTGTTTTTATGGTGAGGTTTTTCAAAACTGTCATTTAGTTTTTCTTTTGTGTAATAATTTTTTTTGTTAGTAGCCTCATGCAAATGTGTTCGGTGACTGACCATCATAGTAAACAAATTTTAAAAATAAAGGTTATGGTCTATCAAGTGAGGTTTCACTGTGACATCTGATTTGTCTAGTATTGCATGGAAGTAAATAGATTTGATTGTGTTGAGATGAATATGCACTGTCATATTTTAGAAAGAGTTCTGGAGATGCTTTGTAATTTAAAATCGCTTGGATAACTCAGGTTTTAAAGGATTGTGGAAAATTGGTTTATTTTAATTTTTTTTACAAAATAACACAAGTGAATTTTTTAAAATGGATCATTCAGAAATCACTGGATGCTTGAGTTTCTTAAAAACAAGATATCCTGTAAATCTCATGGCTGGTGATAACTGCTTGTTTTGCTGAAGACCCCTGTTGGGGCTGTTGTGACCAGTGACTCTTGGAAATGTATGTTTTATCAGGTTTAATTGGAAGTAAATCTGCTAAAAACAAGCTGTTTTAGAGGAAAGCTTTCTAAGAATAAGCTGCTCAGAGCTGATTTGTAACTTTATAAATAGAAAACCCTCTTAAGTTTCGGGTTAAACCTATTTGTGCTTTTGAAAGAATGTTTGATGAAACTCCAAGATTACTGAACAGATTGTCTCTGAAAGACTGTGTAATTTGTGGTTTGGCTACATGTGCCAGAATATCAAAGCCACAGACTTGGGAACACAGTATGCATCAGGGTTGGTGTGGAGGTGAGGGAAGGGTTTTGGAGTGGTGGGGGGAGGTGGTGTGGAGACCGACATTCTGACAACAGAAAATCCTAATCTAATCCAAGACTCACTGAGGAGCTGTTTTAACTTGGTGCACACCTTCCCAAACTTTGTTGAAAGGATTGAGGCATTTTTCATTTCTTTTGAAAATATAGATAAACAGATACGGTAGCTAAGATAACTGGACACGGTTCATGCAAAGTAGGTTGTCAAATTTCATGAAGTGTATGCCTTTCTTTCTGAGGTGATAAAAGAGGCTATTCTCAGTACAAACAAGTGGGTTCCTGAGGTTTACAGGCAGAAATTTTGGAATAACCAGAAGCACCTTGAGTAGACTTGCGTAGAATTTGGTGGGGGAAAGCAATAACTTGTGACCTCCGGGTGCAAGTATTAAAAGTAGAGAGTATGCTCGAGGCCTTCAGTGAAGTCATGCTCTCTCTCTGTTAGTACAGATATAGCAAAGCAGGCAGCCGAGATGGCTGATGATTACAAGCTGGTCTACAATTATGAGGAAGGGTCACTGGACCTGAAATGTTAACTTTTTTTTCCTTCACAGATGCTGCCAGACCTGCTGAGCTTTTCCAACTTTGTTTTTGTTCCTGATTTACAGTATCCACAGTTTTTTTGGTTTTTACAATTCCAAACCCATTTTTTCCATCATCACCACAAATCAGAGAATTATAGAAAATGGAAAGGTGAAAGGAAGCAAGTAGCCAGGAATTGTAGGAACAGCTGGGAGTACCAGACAGAAAAATGCTGAAGTTGAAAGTAATGACTGAAGGCCCAAGAGTTTGTACCATTATACGATGGGATACCATCATGCCGATTGCTAGAATGTAAGGTAGTAGGTCAATGGCAAGAGAGAGGAGCCCAGACCAAGTGTGCAACAGAGAGTTATAATTCTTGATTGTAACTGAGAACAAGTATTAAAAACTTTTGAGAGTGCAGGGAAGGTAAGGAAGGTACCTGAAAGCTACAGAGAATTTTTTGTCAAAGAGAAAGGCTATTTATTTCTCAAATAGGGTAAGTAAACCTGTAGTCATATACTCCGTTCCTTTTAGCTGAGGAAATACATGCTTTTTTAGGAAATGATGTTAGCAGGAAGTATACACCCATATCTTTGTATTGACTGCACCTAGAGTGTGGCCTCTTGTCAGAGTTCTCCATAATTTACCCGTAGACTCAGTTGACTTGTATCTAGGGAATGATTTGGCAAGAATGATGGTTGTAGTTTCTCAAGTGGTCGTAGAAAGGCCAAGTGAAGACAAAGAAAGAGTTAGTAAAAAGGTCCAAGAAATTTTCCTTTGTGCATAGTGCAACGGTTAAACAAAGTCCATTGGCGTAAGTCAACACACTGAACATAGAGTGGTTAGACACCATGCTGTCATATTTAGAAACAGAATTAAAAAGATTTAACAAAGTTGCTAACTGGATGAAAAGGAGACTGTAGGGGCAAGCCAGGATGTACAACTCTAACCATATATGAAATGGATTTAGGAGAATCTCTTGTTTAAAAAAGAAAGTATCCTTATCACTTAAGAAAAGGACCAGGTGAAAGCAGAAATTGAATAGATGTTAGAAAATTAACTAAAAGTGGCTCTCGTGGTGCAGAGGTAGAATCCCTACCCTGGACTGAGGGGCCCGGATTCGAGTCCCACTTGCTCCACATGTGTAGTAATATCTCTGAACTGGTTGTTTAAAGAAATAGATTAAATAGAAAAAAACTTAAATTTAGAAAATTGCCTAATTAAGTCCAATCAAAGCAGCTGTAGTTCCCTAAAAGTATTTGTACCGAAGCCTGATGGATTAACCAAATTCTGCAATGATTACAGAAAGATGGGCTTCTCTTCCTCCTCTTAGTCATCCTTGATTGCAAGGGATTGCCTTTCTTCCACTTTTGGGGGAAGTGTCCTGAGATGACAAAATAATCATCTTTCCAACAGACAGGTTAATGTGTAGTAACAAAGACAAACTCTTACCCAGTTCCTCACTTATCAACTCTATCAATATAGTTTTCTAATGGCAGACTTCTTACCAAAATAGTTTAAGAAGGCTGGTACATTCCTATAACTAAAGAGATATCAGCCTTTGTCAGGCGAGACTATTTTTTCCAATGCTAAGTAATTTCATTTAGGGTCATAGAGATGTACAGCACAGAAACAGACCATTCGATCCAACTCATTCATGCTGATATCCTAAATTAATCTAGTCCCACTTGCCAGTGTTTGTCCCATATCCCTCTAAACCCTTCCTATTCATGTACCCATCCAGATGCCTTACCACTTCCTCCAGCAACTTGTTTCATTCATACACACCACACACTGTGGAAAAAGTTGCCCCATAGGTCCCTTGTATATCTTTCCCCTCTCACCTTAAACCTTTGCCCTCTAGTTTGGATCCCCTACCCTGGGGAAAAGATCTTGTCTATTCACACTATCCATTCCCCTCATGATTTTATTAACTACTATAACGTCATGCCTCATCCTCTGACACTCCAGGGAAAATAGCCCCAGCCTGTTCAGCCTCTCCCTATAGTTCAAACTCTCCAACCCTGGCAACATCCTTGTAAATCTTTTCTGAACTCTTCCAAGTTTCACAATGTATTTTCTATAGCTGGGAGACTAGAATTGAATGAAGTATTCTATTAGTGACCTACCCAATGTCCTGTACAGCTGCAACATGACCTCCCAACTCATATACTCAATGCACTGACCAATAAAGGCAACCATGTCAAACACTACCTTCACTTTGCTATCTACCTGTGACAGCGAGATAGCAAGATCTGCAGCTGCTGAAGTCAGAGATAACAAAGTGTGGAGCTGGAGGAACACAGCAGGCCAGGCAGCATCGGAGGAACAAGAAAGCTGGTATTTCACGTCTGAAGAAGGGTCCCGACCCAAAATGTCAGCTTTCCTTTTCCTCTGATGTTGCCTGGCCTGCTGTGTTCCTCCAGCTCCACACTTTGTTATCTACCTGTGACTCCACTTTCAAGGAACCATGAACCTGCACTCCAAGATCTCTCTTTGGCAGCAGTCCCCAGGACCTTCCCATTAAGTGTATACATCCTGCCCTGATTTGCCTTTCCAAAATGCAGCACCTCGTGTTTATCTAAATTAAACTCTCTGCCACTCCTTGGTCCATCTGATCAAGGTCCCGT